ATTTGCAATTTTGACAGCAGATTCGTAATCAGCAGACCCTAAAACCTACTAGTACAAAATTACAAATGATTTCTATAAAAAGTCAAATATTTCACAAAGGACGACGCCATATTGAGTCCGCTATTTTGAATTTCGTAATTCTGACATCGAATTCGTAATCAGCGACCCCAAAAACCCCATGGTACAATATTACAAATCATTTCTTTAAAGTTTCGAAAGTTTGACCGCACTGTGGGGCGGTGTGGTAGTCTCGATGGAACGGTACGGTTTATCTCGAGCGCCACCAAGAGATTACTTCCTTCCTCCTAGAGAAGGTCCACTGGAGAGTCGCGGATTTCCGGAAGCCACAGGCAGTCAAATGGAGAAGCGGAAAACTCTAGGTGTCGTGTGGTCACTGGCGAAAAATCTAAAACAAAATCACGGCACGCCGAAATGGTACCGTTTCTCGAGTGAAAACGGAATCACAAGTTAACTAACGATATCTAGAGGCATAGTGTAAAGAATAGAAACACTAAGCTATAGGGAATGAAAAATAATACACCGAAGATATACAAGAGAAACTAAAACTGGCCGATTTGGTTTTTACTTTTTTCTGGTGGTATTTGAACAGGTACAAAAAAAATAAAAACACTTTCTGATTGCCACTATTTGAGATCTACAAGACAGTATTGAGAGGTTTTCAGTACAACGTTTCGTTTAGGAGAAACCATCATCAACCTTCTCTTTTTATATGCCCTATAAAAAAACGTACATATTGCATTGAGTAGCATTTTTCATTACGAATACAACGATTTATGGTTCAAAAAAAAAACAACAAAAGATGGAAACTATTGGTTTCAACAGGATGGTGCACCCGCGCACAAAGCGATCCATTTTCCAGGAAATTTCCGTTTTGGACAATTGCGGGTACGATAAATTAGAAAATAATTATAGTAGAATTATCTTTTGGAACCGAAACGGCAGAGCTATAAATGGAGACGAGTTCTGGTACACTGAATTCTGAAGAAGAAGGTACGTTGATGGTATGAAGATTTATTCAAAACTCGAAGTTGGCCATGATTTTTCGAAACCGGATTTTTCGAAAAAAGTTCAAAGGAAACAAATTTTGGTACAATGTGAATGTGACATATTAAATTAACTTCCAAACTACTC